AGGTTAATCAGCACAGCCAGAACTAAACAGCTGTCCCGCTCACAACCATAAAAAATAACAATTGGCCTGTTTACATTTACTACTCAAGTGGAGCCATTATGGGGAAGATGCCAACTTTCTGTGACTGCTCTTCTTCCAGAAATGGAACTTTCCATTGACTTTTCAAAAGCACCTTGAAATCTCTGTCACCATTGGGCTGTCTGCACTCATCTCTGGCTCTGGAGGAAGCAGCTGTGGCAAGAGGCTTTGGTCTTGGTACAAGAAGAGAAGAAAGGCTGGGTCATGGTGGTACACACCCGTAATCCCAGTAGTATGGGGGGCTGAGGTAGGAGGATGGCAAGTTCAAGCCCCACATAGGCAACTTAGCGACTTAGTGAGACCTTATCTCTGACTGAAAAGCAAAAAGGGCTTGGTATGTAGCTCAGTGAGAAGGCCTTGGTTCAGTCCCCAGGATGGCAAAATCAACCAAAACAAACAAACAAAAACAACAAAGCAATAAAACAAACAGAAAAGCATGAGGATGGGTACCTTTTCACTGATAACAGCATAATTAACAGCTGCTCCAAATCTCTCCACATCTTATTTTGAGAGTACATTTGCTATAGTTGTATCAAATAGTTTTAATGTACCTTATACTAATGAAAAGGCTAAAAAATAGATTCTTTTCACAGTGTGTCTAGAGCTCTAAATTGTATTTCATAAAATACTGTATTTATACACTGTAATGTGCTTGTATTCGTAAATAATAAAGCAAATAGATAATAATTATTCCCCAAAGGCTAACAAAAACCAAAATTGGATAAAGGATCCTTAATCATTGACATAGAAGACATAAAAGTCAGCAGCTACCATCATCAGTAGCTCAGTTTCCTACAGATACTTATTTTCCTCTTAAGAAATACAAAGGTAGAACACAGTAAACACTGTTACAAAAAGAAAAAAGGAATCACGAGTGATGCCCACAACCTACTTTCTATCGTGAACTGGGATGAGATAAATAAATGCTCAGACTCCAGTCCAACAATTTCAACCATCCTCACAATTCTTACATTGTACATTCGATCCTTACACCCCCGCCCCAAACTTCCCTGAAAGCCACTCCCATGGGACAACTGTGACAGCCTTCATTCACATCCACCACGGTCCCTTCTGCCCAGTAGCCAGTCATCTTTTATAAAACAGGAGTCAGGGGTGGAGGTGTGGCTCAGGAATAGAGCGCTTGCCAAGCACGTGCAAGGCCCTGGGTTCAACTCCCAGCATGAAAAACAACAACAACAAAAAACTGAATACATGAAAATGGAGACTGACGCAGGAGGATCACCATGAGTTCAAGGCCAACCTGAATTACACAGAGAGATCCTATCTCAAGAAACCAAAATCAAAAAACCAGAACAATAGCCAAAAAATCACCAAAAGCCTGATCATGCCACGCGTCTGCACAAAACACTCCAAGGGCACTTGGATTGGCCTTGAGCCCACAGGTCTGACCCTCACCTGCCTGGCCCTGCACTCTCCCCACAAGAGTGGCGCTCTCCCTGCCAGCTCCACACTCCTCCACTGCACCAGGCTCATTTCGGCTCCATCTTTCTCCATAGCCTCCCTCACGTTCTCTTCTCAGAGCAGCTTCCTGTGGCCAAGCTGTCTGCAACAGCTTCCTATTCTCCACCTTAACACTGTCTACCTGCACCTACTTGTTTTCTTTTTAAAAAATTTTTTATTAGTAGATGTTTACAATATATAATGATTACATTCATCATGGGAAGTTTGTACATGTATATAACATATCTTAATTCTTTTTACTTTCCCTCTGCTTGTTTTCTTGGCAGACATGCTAATAACTGCAACTCCTCAACTGCCTTTCCCACTGGACTAAGCTCCCTGTTGGCAGGGATAGTATTCCTGTCCTGTGGTTTGCCACTGTGTCCCTGGGGCCTAGAAGAGACTGGCATGGGACTAAATGAGTTTCAGCATGCAATGATTTTCCTCCACTTTCTGAATAAATATATATAAAATTGAAATTTTCACAATAACCAGGATGAGTATATAAAACTGACAATTCCAAAGTTGCCTTATATCCTTCTCTAGCCGGGGTGTACAGACTGCAGCAAAGTGTTTTCTACCTATCAGGCATCTTGGGAGTTACAGAGCTCAGCACATTTTACAACATAAATGATGCTCAAAACCTACCAATGTGGCTCAACTTTCAATCTACTGCCTTCAATTTGAAAACAGGCAAAGTTGTTTATATCAACACAACATACAGTTATTATTGTATTATAGACACTTCTCCTATAATGTGGTAAAATTTAAGACCCATTAGAAAAGATGAAAGAAAATCTGTCAAGAGTAATAAATTCTTTTGACAAATTTAAACATTTGCTTTAAACAATAATTTTGACTGACTTGGTTTCAAGTAGTTTTCTATGGGCTTTGTTCTATGTGGAGTATGAGTGAAAATAAAACTCAATATTGATTTTTAAAGCCTTGTTTACATTGTCATTAATTCACTACCACCATAAGCAAATAATGAATAAAGTCAAATAAAACATGTAACAGAGTACCTGATATACTCAAAAATATGAACATGAAGTTACAGCTTCAGGTATCAGAAAAAATTCAAAAGCATCTGCATTTATTCACTGGGCAAACATAACCAGACAGCTAAGATAAGGCCATTTCTAGGCACTGTGCCTTGCACATTATAGGACCTATTCAAACTTTTCATTTTATATTAATTAAATAACTATAATAATGGTCATTCTGCAACCAATATTTGCCTAGGCTAGTGAGTAGCCAATTAAGTCTTTTAAAGAGTGCAACAATTTAAAGCAAAGGGAACCTTGCCTGCCAATTATAGAAATTAAAATGCTCTATAACATTTGGCAATGTATTCTGAGGGTAGTCTTTCAAAACTACATAGCAAAATGTAATCTTCAAAGTATAAAACATCTACTTCATCTCCAGTAGTCTATACAAGTTTTTCAGGTGTCAATGAAAACCATTTAACTACAGTTATTATTCCAGGATCATATTGCTTATTTTTCTATTTAAGAGTATTAGGAGTTTTTAAGATTACATTTTATATAAAAAAGTTTATTTTTGCAAAACTAGAACATAGCTTAGCATCCTCTCCTTTACTCTATAAACACTAGCAACCATGCAGTACCTTAAGAATATGTATGGACCTCAAGAGTCACTGCAACAAACAAGCTGACTAGGTACAATGCAAAGTCCTAGCTACAGGCCATTTAGCCTTCAGGTCTAAGGACCAATGCACCTGAAACTCTTGCTCATGTTGGTGATTTGCTGTCCTGCCTGCAATAGAACACATTTGCAGAATTCCAGGTTTCATGTTATCACAGTGCTGCTGCCAAGAGGCAGAAAATGATGCTGTAGCTGTCCTTACAATGTCCTTAGGTTCTGCAGAAGGCTCCCAGCAGCCACCACTGGGAATAGGACTTAGCAGGATAAATGGACAAGTCATTTGTTCTATGGCAGCAGGTTATATATTTATTTCTTTCAACAAAAGCATTCTTTAGGAAATAAACACACACTGATAGTATAGAATGGTAAATTTGAAGTTATTTATAAAAATAAGTGTATTGAAAATCATGCTGTGTTTCTACTATAACAGTCTAAAAGCAAATTGATTCCAGAGTCCTTCACGGAGCATGCCATGTAAGAGTGCTAAGATACACCACTGCCACTATTGCTTCATGCTACACTGTGCTAGACTTTGCTCTGTCACTGAAGCAGCTGAGATCTAAATTATGCCAGACTTGGGAGGACAGAGGGTTATCAAATGAAACCTGGAAGTATTCAACCTCAAAGATAGCTACAACACTCACGTTACTTGTAACTCCCACAATGAAAACTGCTACATTAGTAGTTTTCAAGTAAATTTCAGTACTGAAGGCTTCTGATGGGGAAAATATCTACACAAACATAGGACAAACCTATCCTTTCTTGTTGTTACTCTTCTTTCTGCACTTAGAGGACACTGTCGTGTAGTTGTGGCAGGCCCAATGCATCCTTTAATCTTTCAAGAGATTTCATTTCCTCCTAGGAATATGAAGTGATCTTCAATAGCAAAGAAACAACTCCAAAGAGCAATTCTACTAACTCATTAATAAAGCAAAATTTGATAGGGTTTGTACTTGGGTCATATGGGAGTTCTTTACTGACATCTGGAGAACCCACCCTGATTTAAAAATAAAGTAAATGACATGGGCCAGGTCTTTGGAATTTCAAGGACTTGTGCAAGGACAAGGGCTTGTTTTTAACCCCAAAGTTTATAATGGCACAAACGAGTGCTTCCTGTCTGGAAAAAAGAATAAATAATAAACTCGTGTCATATACAGACACTGGAATGAAAAAAGTCTTCCGAAAAACCAAAGGATATGAAGCCAAAAACAAAGTGAGAAAATATGGGGGCTGGGGATGTAGTTCACTGGTAGAGCGCCTGCTTAGCAAGCACAAGGTCCTGGGTTTAAGAGACAGCACGCACACACACACACACAAATTGAGAACTGCAATGCAGCACTTGTAAAGTGGAAGCAAAGCAGCAGTTTGGTGAAGGCCAGTGGCCACAGGTCATGCTAGAGGTTCCTCATAATTCTAGGAAGTGGTCTGTTTGCAGAATTCTACCCAAATAGGGGAAAATCCTTACACAAATAATGCGATGAATATATCATTCCTTGTCATTTCTCTTAAGGTACCTAAAGGCCAAGCTGACACCAGAAGTTTCCAGAAAGTCTAGATATTTACAAATGTTTGATCTACAAGCAAACCTGGAGCGCATCTTTTTAAAAGGCACCAAAGGACCACACGTCAACGTGAGTCACGTGCTCCAAAGCAAGTACCCAAGGCTTGCTGGCTCGCTGTGCCCTGGAGAGCCTGAGCAAAAGATGAGGGTGGCGGCCGAGGGTTGACTACCGCCCCTTTGCACCTGAGTCCCCTTGCCAGGAGCCCGGCCCCGGCTGGCCCCGCTGCTCACTTACTGTTGCTGGACTTGAGGTCCCGATGCAGGATAGGCACCACTGCCTCCTCGTGCAGGTAGAGCATGCCACGCGCGATCTGCACCGCCCAGTTGACCAGCACGTGCGGAGGGATGCGGCGCGCGCGGCGCGGACCGGATGCGCGCGGGTCAGTGGCGGCCAGCGCGCGGTTGAGCGCTCCGCCGCGCGCAAACTCCAGCACCAGGCATAGGTGCGGCTGCCGCAGGCACACGCCGCGCAGCTCGATGATGTTGGGGTGCCGCAGCATGGCGAAGAGCCGCGCCTCGCGCCGCACGCTCTCGGCCGCCGCGGCCGCGTCCTGCTCGGGATCGCGGCGCGCCGCTTTCACCGCCACCTCCTGGCCCTGCCAGGTGGCACGGAACACCTGCCCGAAGCCGCCCGCGCCGATCAACTCCTTGAGTTCCAGCCGCTCGAAGTCGACGTGTATGGGCGAGCCGGGCCGTGGCGGAGGGACTTGGGGCGCGTCCGGGGACTCGGGGCTGCACGGCGCCACGTAGCTGGCGGGGAAGATGCCCAGGCGCCGCCGCACCTGGCCGGCCCACCAGCCCTCGTCGCCCGACACCGCGGCGTCCTGCGACAGCACCTTCACCAGCTGACCGCGCCGCAGGCTCAGCTCGTCTTCGCCGCGCGCCTCGTAGTCGTACAGCGCGGCCCACAGCCCCGCGCCCGCCGGGGACGTGCAGCCCGGGGAGGAGCAGGCGGGCGCCGAGGATCGTGGGGGGTCAGCCATGGGCGCGACGGACTCGGCCTCAGCCTCCGGGACGGCCCGGGGCGCGCATCGTTCGGCAGGTTGGGGCGCGCGGGGAGCCCCGCGTGCTCGGGGACAGCGAGGTCACGCCCACCGCCCGCGGGACCCGGCCTGGGCCCCTGCGCCTGCTCGGCCACCTCGGCTGCTGCAGCGATCCCCGCGGCCGGGGGCGCTGTCGCCCATGGTAGTGCCGGGCCTGTAGCAGAGGAACGCCCCGCCCATGGCCATTGGCCTCAGGGGCCCGCCCCGCCCCCTCCAGGTCCCTGGGCCCGGGGCCCGCCCTCCTCTCAGGTCTCTCCCGCTCCCCGCGCCGCCCGGCCCCGCCCCTCCCTCTGGACCCGCCGCCTTCCGGCGCTCTCCGCGCGCGCGCACCCCGGCGCCAAGGTGAGCCGCGCCCACTTGCCTGCGGGCGGGGGTGGGGTGGGCAGCGCTGAGTTCGGGGAAGTTTAAACTGAGGGTGGTGGTGCTGGGGGAGCCTCTTTTCCGGATAGCCGTGGGGGGGGGGGGGGGGGGCGGTCAGAGAAAGGCTGTGTGTTACCGACCCGGGACTGGCGCCTGACTAGTGGATCGCGGCTCTGGAGCTGGGCCAGGGCGCGCCTCGAGGCGTCGAGGGCCGACGTTTGAAGTCAGCAGATTTCAGAAGGCAGTGCCAAGCGAGCCCCGGGGGCAGAGCCCGGAAGCTCGGGCCCCGGGGGGCCAGCCTGGGCCATCCGCTCGGGTAGGAAGGGCCCTTCTGTCACCTGTGCACGCGCGCTCCTGCGTGGTGAGGCCGCGAGGATCCTGGGGCAGGGTGTGAAGCTAAAAAAGTAGAAGTCAAATTATTAACATGCAAAAACTTAAGTTATCCCGTAGCAGTCAGATGTCCAGAAGCGTGGGGCCTGGGCTACCTGTTAAAGACCACGGGAGAGGCTTTGTTGGAAGCTGGGAGGCTGGGGCATGTGGGAGCGCTGAGTCACAGAGCGAGGGGCCCTTGTGTTTTCCATCTTTCAGCCTCTCACGTAAAGCCCTTTATTGTGACCTTAAGCAAGTTACTTGTTTGTGACTCCTGTTACCTCATCGTAAAATGAGAATAATAATTAGCCACCGGATGGGGCGGTTGGGAAGACTTAAATGAGTTAGATTTAAGGAGCGTAAGATACGTAGTGCATAGTAGATATTCAATAAATATTAGCTCTTATTAATATCCCTCTCAATAAGTAGCAAGCAGGTGTCTGGGACGCCTTGGCCCCTTTGGGAAACAGTTTCTAATTTTTTCTAATACTTGCACTTTTTTGCCTTCTGATTATGACAAGCAATATGGATTCTCTATAGCGACGAAATTAAGATTCCTACATAGATAAGAAAAAAATGAGTTGATCTAAGAGAAAAAAATTGGTACATTGGCACATGGATATAGCAAATTAATTAAGATAGTACTTTAATGACTGAAAGTTGGAAAATCCTGGAGTTGGTGTTTTAGAATGGAGCAGTGATATAAGTAAGTTTAAACTACAGAAAGGCTATTAAGTGTGGAAACATTTGACTAGGGCAAAGGAAAAAAAATCACATGTGAGGCTTACAGGACAAAAGGAGAGAATTTAGGAGGGATTGAACCTGCCAGAAATGTTAACATTAGGAAATAAAGACAGAAGTGTCCAAGGCAATATTCGGAGAAAAACCCTAGGGATTTAATCACCATTACCGGGCCAGAACCCCTAATCCAAAACACAGGGCCCCAGAGAAATTCAGAATTGGGGGGATTTTAATAGTGTAGTACGCATATGAATTTTAACATCTCCCAGTGGCATATGGGGCAGTCGCATCGCATGATCAAACACTAATTTTTTTCTCTGACATGTAAGAATATTGTCATCGAGTGGCATGGGCACCACTGACCACCTCCTGCCATTTCAGTCAAGAAACAGGTAAGTGTGGTGCCACCTTACAAAATACCTTTTGGACTTCAGAGTTGTGGATAAGGGCTTGTGGGAGGTGGTCAGGGTGACTTCTCCAGGTGTTTAGCTTAAGCAGGTGAGTGGGTGATGATGATGTGGAACAACCTAGGGAACAGTTTTAGGGAGACAGTTGTTTCCTCCAGGTTGCTTTGGGGACAGCTAGCTATATAGCCAGAATGTGAGAGGACCAGGAACAGAGAGAGGTGAGCAGGGATTGGAGGAGACTGTTTTGAAGCCATTCTGTAAACAGGACGTCCTGTGGGCCGAGAAGAGATCAGGGGCCTGCAGATGCCTTGAACTGAGAAAGCCTTCCAGAGCTGCACCTCGGCTTCATGCTCCCCGCAGACCCATTGTGCCCTGCTCCTTTGCTGCCTGCAGACACAACCGGAGACCTCGGCTCAAGTAAACCTGACTCCTTGATGGAGTCACCACCTAGTACCTAGCATTTCTAACTGTCCACCCACTCTTTAAACTCTCCTCCCGGAAGAAGCAGCAGGGGCCTTGACTTGTTACCTGGGAGCATAGTGACTCTCTGGGCTTGATTATCCTGAAGTTCATTATTTGTTGTTTAGGGCCTTTTTTGTGTGTGTGTTTGATACTGGGGATAGAACTTGAGACCTTGTGCTTTCGAGGCAGCCGCTGGAACCACTAAGCTAAATCCCTGGGCCTTTATTTTAACCCCATGAATCTTATAGTTGGGGGAGGAGAGATATTGTGCCCTATTCAGAGGTATGTACTGTAACCACATCTACTCTGTCCAGCACAGCACAATCCACCTGTGTGATTCTAACACAGACAGAATGGTGACACAGCGGTTTGTGCTATGCTTGTATTCAAGTGGAAGATGATGAAAGCGAGAACCAAGGGAAAGTTCAAAGGAATCAGACCAAGAGGTTATTGTGTTGGTGTCCAGGAAGAGAGGGAATGGTAGAATGGCATTGCCTTCTTAAATAAACAGCATATTTACAGTCTTCTCTGTTTGTCTTAGAAGAGACTTTTGAGAATTGGTTTCTCTGGCAGAGCCTTCCTTTACCCATGCATCTGTTATTTTAGCTCAGTAGTGAAAGTGTGGACACAGAGATCTCTGAGAATCTTTCAGGGGCCAACAAGGTCATTACTATTTTCCTAATTAGACTACAATGTTGTTTTGTTCCCAAGGTTGACATTTGCACCGATGATGCAGAAATCAACAGTGAACTGCATGAATCCACATAGCAGGACCATTTTTTTTAACTTTTATTTGTCCATGTTTGCAGTACATAATGATTACATTCATTGTAGGGAATTGGTACATGTACATAACACATATCACTTCTATTTCTCCCCTTCCTTCCACCCCTACTTTTACTTTTCTAGCATCAGATTCATTTATTTATGTTATAAGACTTTATAAAGTTAATTATCATATATACAGATTGAAAACCAGACTATTAGGCCAAAGAACATATGAAAAACGTAAGACAGTTGTACTGAGTCAATTGGATACATACTTGTGGATACATTGTCCAAGTTGGATTACAATACCTTTTTTCTTTTTCTGCCTCTTTTCCTATTATTTGTCTTTTATTTCATATGTTAGATATATTGAGTTTTTCATATAAGAGAAACCATGTGCTATTTAAGCTTGTTTGAGTTACTTCACTTACTATTATGGTCTCAAGGGTCATCTGTTTTCCTACAGGAAGGACTCAGGTTTATCCTTTATAGCAGGACCAAATTGTATCACTCTTCACATAGGTCTCTGCAAAAGTAAAATAAATAAAAAACAGGTTTTCTTTCTTCTTTCTTGTGGTACTGTGGGTGATGAACCCACTTCCTTCCAACTAAGCTACATCCCCACTCCTTTTTAAACATTTTTTGAGACATGTTCTTGCTAAATTGTTCGGTTACTCAGCTGGGCTCAAATGTTCAGTTTTCTTGCCTCAGTCTCCCAGAGTGCTAGGATTACAGGCATGAGCCACCATGACCTGTGCCAGGCTCACTATAAAATGTGATTGACAAAGCAGTAAAAATTATCTCCAGGTCCTTAATATTCTACATGGCAAAATGGGACTTGGTAGAAAGCAATTCTGCCACGTGCTGCAGTGCCCTGGCTGTTTTAGAAGGAGCACTTGGGGAGAATCTCTGAGTTGTTCTTTAAGTGACCACTGTCACTTAAAAGGAATGACGTAAAGAAACTGTAGTTATTCAGACTTGGATACCTGAAGACACCTTCTTGAAAAATGAGTCTGTTGTTCCAACAGACAGCTATGAGTAAGTATGTGTTGCTAATGTTAAGATGTGAGCTTTCGAGCAAAATCCAGAACATTGGAAACCTGTAGCTGCTGCTGTGAGCTCAACAACTGTGCAAGTCCAGTAAGTTCTTGAAGACTTTCTGGATAAGATTGATGTGATACTAATCTAATGAGTGTAATTTCTTGAGATTGGATAACAAAATTTGGCAATGTGGAAAATTCCTGTAGCTCAATAAATCAATTTTTCCAAAGACCAATGTCATTTTAATACCACAAAATCGCACATGGGCAAAAGGTCCTTTCAAAGTGTACTGTGAAGGATTCATTGATAATGGCTTCAGATTCCATATTCTGCTAATCTTTAAGAGACCACCATGGTTTGAGCTTTGGCATAGTATCAGTGAATATTCACTCTTAGCTGAAAGCAATGTAGGTACTTCTGCCTTAGAAAAGATGGTGGTTTCCAGGAGCGGGGAGGTGGATGTAGGAGGAAGAGAGGTGGATGTGAGTCTCAGCAGGCAGCATAGGAGGTTAGTATGAGGGAGCCTGCTGTACCTTCCTGTGGTGGTTATGTGAATTTCCCCACCTGATGAGGTCCACAGAACCAGCTCACACACACAAATGACCGCACACAGAAACAGTGAGCCCCAAATGAAGTCCCAGAACTTTATCAGTGGTGATTTTCTGGCTGTGATTTTCTATAATTATGTAAGCAATCCCTAAGAGGAAAAACTGGGTAAAAGGTTTACAGAACATCTGTACGATTTCTTACAAATGCATGTAAATCTATAATTGTCCCTAAGTAAAATTCTTTTTAAAAAACTCTACTTTTTTTCCTTAGCTACTGTACGTGTCCCTATGAGGCCAGAATTCCTCCATATAGTCCATCCGGGGTGATATATATGATAACAACAAACCAGAAGCATGTAAGGCAGTGACAGTGAACCTTTTAGAGCTTTCAGTTACATAAACAGCCTGCTACAGCACACGTGCTATAGGTTCACCAACACTGATATAGCTGTCTTCTACTAGGCTAGACATGAAAAGAGTGTTATAAAAAATAATAAATAATGCCAGTCAGCTTTCCTGTGCATTATAGCTTTAGAAAAATAACTTTTTCATAAAAAGTATTAAATGTTGCCGTGTAATAGACTTATTTTTAAAATAAAGTTATAAATGTTTTACACTTCTCTGTTTTGACTGCCAATTTGGAAATTATTGATAGTTATAAGACACAAAACCCCAAGATCTTCAACTCCTTTTTAAGTGCATATGAGAGTCCTGTGGTCAGAGAACATTAGGATTTCCCTGGGTTAAATGGGGGTCAAGAAGAGGAAGAAGTCGCTGATGAAGACCTTATTCAGAGGGGACATCAGGTCCTTCATGGATGCCCTGTGCTGCTGCTGGCCAGTGCAAACAGACACGGCTGGGAAATTTCAGCAAGCTTTCATTAAAGGTAGTGAGTCTACAATATGGGACTAAACCCTTGTGTGAGCCCAGAACACTGGCTTTTGGGTCCCGGTAGACATGAGGACGAGGACGATAGGATGAGAGAGTGACTGACTTTTCCCTCTCTCTCACTGGCTTTGACATCTGTTTCCTTTCTGAATCCAAAAGGAAACACTACAACTAATCGCAGGAGAGAGCTTCCCTCTCATGGGACATCCAGTCTACCAAGGGGACAGCGGTTCTCCTAGAGAGAAGAGGGGAAGAGACAGCTACCACTGGAATTCGTAAAGAAAGGGTTTCTGACATTTCAAAGTTTAACTTCCACAGGTAGGAATAGAATGCAGTTTACAGTGGAAAAATTGGGGCTGGGGGAGTGGAGACAGTGAAAATTAATCTAGAACTGCTCTTGCCATTACAGTGTCTTGCCTTGCAGTGTCAGTACTGAGAGGTGTGAAGAAATAATGCTGGGACAGAAGAATTGGTATCATGGGACATGTGCAGCTGCCAAGCAGTGGACAGACAGTAGGATCCCTGATGAACAGAGTTGTGTATGGGCTGCCCAGCTGTCTCAGTGTCCTGGTCACAGGAGAGGTGCTGGAGTCCCAGTGTGGCTGGGGACCTTCAGAAGAAGAGTGTCTAGCAGAGGAGAGGAGACTTCCAGGGACCTTCAGGAAGGGTAGGGGCAGATGAGGGGATGCAAGAAGGACATGGATGTAGATCAGTGATGATGGTATTCCGGGCATTGGGACCACTTGACCACAGCAAAGAATGTCTTTTTTTGTTTGGGGGCACTGTTGAGACAGGAAACCAGATTAGAAAAGACCTTAAAAACCAGCCAGGGTATCTGGAAATGAGGAGTGATTATAGACCCTGAAGAATAAGGAAAATATTTCTTTAAGAATTATGTGTTTTCTTTAAAAACTAGAAACATCTTTGGAAAGAAAAAATTTTTCTCTAGTTTTTAGTTATTCCCCCCAGACTTTTCATATTTCTAGATGGAAAATATGGGATGACTATTAATAACAGTACAGTGGAATTGCTCCTATCAGGTCTTGCAGGTTTTTTGTTTTGTTTGTTTTTGTTTTCTACAAGGGATTGAGCCCAAGGCCTTTGCCCTGAGCTACATTGTTCTTTTTTATTTTTTATTTTGAGACAGAGTCTCACTAAATCATTAAATTGCCCAGGCTGGGCTCAAACTGGTAATGTAATCTTCCTGTCTCAGCTTCCCAGAGTGCTGGGGTCCCAGGTGTGTTCCACCATGCTCAGCTCAGCAGCAGTCTTTAAAACAAAAGCATCTTGGTGGCTGGCCTGGGGCTTGCAGTTTATTAGCATTGCTGAACTCTGCCACGCTCTGGGAGATGAGGAAAGTATGAATGTGTGTGAGGCATCATTTAGTTGGACCCAATATTACCTGCCGAGCAAGGAAAGACAGGTGGACACCGATTAACAGCTTGGCTGCTGGCAGATCCAGGTTCCAATCTCTGCTTTGTCCTTATTCAGCCCACAAACAGTCTTAGTTCTTCAGTCTCCTCCTGCATGGCATGGTGTTGACCAACAGTATCTGTCCCATGGTGTTATTCTGAGGATTCACTGAGCCAGTGTATTAAAGCAGAACATTTAAAGCCGAATATTTAAAGCTGTAAAGGCTGTTACTTCATATTAGTAGCTGATTATGGAGGACCTATTAAAATAGAAAATTCAATAGCATATATATCTCTCCTCTTCTTTGCTTACATTTGGTATATTTTCTTTTTTTAATTTTTAAAAATTAACTTTATTGGTACATTTTAGGTATACATTATGATCACATTTATCATTGGGAATTTGTACCTGTACATGATGTATCTTAGTTCTTGTTTTTTCCCATTCCTCTTACCTCCCTCCCATCCCTCCACCCCTCTTTATTTACAGAAGCTTTGTTTCCATTTTTTCCTTTTTATATTTTTTCTTTCGCTTCTTTCCTTTTCCCCCTACTACCCCTTTGAACCTTTGCTTCCTATTTCACATTATCTATTATACATTTTTTTCCTCATTTACACTTTCAGTTTCTCACACCAGAGAGATAATTTGGTATTTACACATGTATTCTATTTATTTCACTTAAGAGTATGGCCTCGATATGCATTCATTTAGCTATAAATGTCTCTATCGTTCTTTATGGCTGAGTAGTACTCCATTTGATAAAAAAACCCCACATCTGCTATGTTTTCTTACATTAAAGATCAGTTTGATTATTCCAAAAAAGTTAAACATACTCCACAGGATAATCATTATTAGAAGTTGGAATGCTAGCTTCCAAGGTTCTTGGATACTTCACATCCAAAAACATGCTTTCCAAGCAAATGACACAGGCAAATATCTGAGCAAATGATATGTATAGTAGACTAAAACTTCTATCCAGTTGTTACCACTGTTTTTACTTATTCACTATGAAAAATACTATGATAAAGTAAGAAGTGTGTCCATTTGGTTTGTAGCAGAGACAGGAGCAGACAGTCTGAGTCGGCTCACCATTCAGCACACCTTTGTTTTGAATGTCAGGCCCACTCTTGGGACCTGGGATATAAACGCTGACAAAACAAAATGCCCTGTCTTCGTAGAGCTTGTGTTTTAGCAGGAGGAAATGGAAAATGGTCAGGAGAGATATGTACATTACATAGTGTGTTAGAATCTGATAACGGCTGTATAAGAACAGGATATAAAATGGATCAGGGATGGTCTGGGAGGCAGGGTGAGCAAAGAGTGGAGACTTTCAAGAGGGTGAACAGGTGGCCCCCTGGGGGAGAAGAAGCTGGGCACATACTGGAAGGAGATAAGGGACCTGGGCAAGCTGTTAACTGGAGAAAGATTAAGTGAATAAAAATATCACAAGAAGTGTGTGTTTTGACTCAAAGCTCCAGAAGGTCCAGTCCATTACTCCAGTATTGTAGGTGGATGAGTATAAATGTAAAGTAGCATAAAGTTCTCTCTGAATGTCTTGTGAGACTACACATAGCCCCTTTCTCTTAAATCTGATCCTCTGGTTTCATTTTCATACACTTAACGACATGGGATTCATTGAATAAAAATAACAAGGATGATGGTGGTGGCGATGCTGCTGACACAGCAGTAAGTGAACTTGTATTCACATTGACTGTTAGGTGTTAAAATTGTTAATTCTGTCTGCGTGTCAGGTTACTGTTTCTTCTAGGGTTGGTTCCAACTGGCTTTCAGCCTTAGACAGAGGAATCCTGAGCTGTGGGTTTTCTGTAACTTTAATCACAAGACAAGACTGGACCCCTGCCTCTCCTCTATGCCTAAAGTTACAGAGTTCCGCCAGGTCTGGGAAAATGGACAGTGAATTCCTTCTTTGGATAATGCAACAATGTAAGAACCTGAGTAGTTCCAGAAAGCCAAGGTCATTTTCAGACCCTTGGAGAGATCCCTTCTGAAGTACAACTGCAGACCCGGCGACCTTGGGTCTGAGACAGGAAGGCTGTGATTCCACTCGGAGTTGCCATTTTGTACATCTGTCTTATCAAAATTAGTTTTAACTTTTTATAACTGACTGGATTCTTTTCAAACATAATGACTAACTCTTCACAGCTTACTAGAAATAGTAAACAGAGGACACAGAGGATCAAGATGAGTTAAAAAAAAAGCAAGTTATCCTCCTATCATCATAGCGAGTAAACCATAGAATGATAGGTTTATACGTGCTTTGTTTGTTTTTAAGAAAGTGCCTGCCGCACCCCCTGCATTTGCCAGGTGGCTTTTCTACCCTGTGCAAGGCTTTTATTCTGTCTATGAAAATGATAGTTTCCCTGCATATCAGATCTTCCTTGGGGGCGGTATGTGACTTCCTTAAACTATGCTGGGACCCACAATAAAACTCAAATTCACACCATGAGCCTCCTTGGAGAATCTGATCTTTTCTTTTAAGACCCTATTTTTGAAATCTATATGTAAAAATAAAGAAAGATTAACCTACTCCTGTAAGAATATGATGGATATGGTAAAATTATGCTTTTGAACTTCATTAGAAGAGAATTGCTAAACAAAAGCAACCACTTTTTTCCCAACTAGTGCATGTAGCATGTGCTAATCCAGCACCTAATACATATAAAAGCAATCTCCTGCTTTTGTTTTTTCATGTTTTTTTAACCATCTCCTGAAATATCTTCAGAACTCTTCAGTAAACCTGGCTGGCCTCTCCTTCCCTTATAATAAATATGGACACACATGGTGATCCCTTCTTCGGGCTGGGTTTTATTCTCTGTAAGAATCTCCTGGGCCCAAAGCCTCAGTGTCTGCAATATGATGGGAGCACCTGACTGCCCAGGTGCTCTTGCTGTCCTATAGAGTTGTTTTGTTATCCTGAAGGTGCTAATGACTGCGAGGTACTGGGAGAACTGCAGTGCACCATAGAGATAGAGCTGTAAAGGCTTGTTTTGTGGTTACGGTTTAATCACAGGGTTAGCAGATATCTTCCCAACCCTTAGAGCAGTACATTATGAAGCTCACGGTTAGATGAGCCAAGCTTGCAGTAAGCATTTCTTTTAGGGATGTTTCCTTAGCTGATGCTTCTCTCAGAAAACTACTTTTTTATAATAACAGTAAGAATATCTTTTGAAAGTCTTCAGCTTTACTTTGATATTAGGCAAATTCTGAGCCCTGGCTTCCATCTAGACAGAATACTGATTCTCCTTCATACTAACTTGGGTACTAGAAGCCTTATTTTTCCTACTTAGACTGATGCTAAATTTGCTTTTAAAAATGAAGTTAATATTCTTCTGTTTATTAGTCTGTAGATGACTTGTTTTCATCTTTTTTGGGGGGGGGAACATCGAACTTGGGAACTTGTGCTTGCAAGGTGCTTTCATCTATTAATATTTTCCATGTTTGGAACGCCTGTAGAAGTAACCTAGGAAGCTTTTATGTGTGTATTCTAATTATTTTTTGCATACATATTTTTATAATAAAATCCATATGTTTTAAAGGCCATAGAACCAGGTGTTCTTATTAAATTTTAGGAGCCCTGAAGCAGGAGGGTCATAAATTGGATCCAGCTTGGGCAACTATGTGAACTTAGCAAGACCCCATCTCAACAACAACAGCAACAGCAATAAATAAATAAATGAATAGATCTGGTGATGCATATCAGTGCAAAGGGCCCCGTGTTGCAGTAAACAAACAAACAAATACATAAATAGCCACATATGCAAAAGGATGTTAGAAGTTTAAATTTCTCCCGTGTTCCCTCTACCTGTCAGCCATCCATTTGTTTGCTTGCAGTTAGTTTGTGTATGTCCAGCATTAGAGTTAACTACACAGCCAGAGATAGAGGTCTGCAAATGTACTTCAATGTATTATATCTTAGTGCAGTGGTGGCGAACCTATGGCATGCATGCTTCAGCGGGCACACAGAGCCCTCTCTGTTGGCGTTGGAGCCGAGTCACCCCAGCAGCTGAGCATCGGATAACAGTTGTTTTTTTTCTAAACTAAAACCTCAGTATTCAGGTTTAATTGCAGAGTTGGCATTCTGCAATAAGTAAGTGGGTTTGGGGTTGTAGTTTTGGCACTTGATCTGTAAAAGGTTCGCAATCACTGCCTTACTGTTTTCCCCTCATGTGTCTTAGGGAGGGTTTCACCACATAACTTTTAAGCAGCCTCATTCTCTTTAGCCATTCTGTCGCACTCACCATGTGCTGCATTCTCATTCTTTAATGAAGTCCTTTGATGGACATTTCGATTGCTTTCAATTTTCTCATCACACAGTGCTGCAGTGAATATCTTCTTATGTTTCCCATTTGCACAGGTCCCAGCAGACAAGCAGGATAAATCCCTAAGGGTGTAGTCCATGCATCCCAGGGCACTTGCAATTGTGATTTTGATGGATCTGGCGGCAGCACCCTACACTCTGACAGTATGCTCCTTGCCCAGCACAATATGCTTGGGTGACACACGTTTGCACTGTGGCAATCTGAGACTGGCAGCTCTGCACATCTCTTTCTGTTTCTGTCACTGCAGTTACCCTTTCTGTCAACTGTTTCTTCCGTCCTCTGCCCATTTTTGATTAGTCTTTACTTACTAATTTTGAGGAGTCTTGTGTATATCAAATAACTTATCTATATGTCTTGGATAGGCAGTGTACATATTTTTCCTGGTTTATCTAAATTTTATTTCTTTGTGGTATCATCATGCAGATTTTTTTCTTTTCCTTTCTCTTGTTTGGACTTCTATATGTTTGAATCTTTTCCTTTATGGCTTCTAGGTCATAGTAGAAATAATCTTCCCTAAATTTTGAAAATGATTCTCCATAAGTTTTCTTCTATCTCACCCACCCCCCTTCCAGCTCTGTCCTGGCTCACTGACCTGTCTCCGGGTGCCCAGTACCACTGCCACCTACTGGTGGAAATCTCAGCACTGTCCTAGCAATTCTTTGCTTGCTTTTCCATACTGGACATTGGTAAAAGCAGTACCCAAATCTGAGACATTTTCTTGTGCTTCCACTCACAGGCCTGCTGCCAAAAGCTAGGCTTGCCTGATTTCTGATTGTACATAAGTGGAATCGTGTATTGTGTGCTTTATTGAGCTGATCTCTAAGATTCATCTGTGTCACGGTATGTGATTTTAGTTTGTTCCTTTGGGTTTCTGATTAAGTTGGTTACAAATTAATTGAACAAGAATTAATACATTTATGATGTTGAATCTTCTGGGCTTACAACCTTCTATGCCTTTCTATTTGTTTAAGGTCACCTCTGTCTTACCTAGGTTACATAGTTTCTCTGTGATAGCTGGTTTTGGTTTGATCCCTTGCTTTGTTTAGGTTCCAGGGTTCTGAGAGGTTGGTTTCAGTAGCTTTGCCTGCATGGTCATAGATTTCTTGGGACAGTGTGGCTACCAGCTCCTCCCTCTGTGACTGCAGTCAGTGCCTAAAGGGTCTATTTTAAGGTTAATTTTTCTTTTCTTTTGTCATTATGGAAGTAGAAGAATGACGTGCCCATTTAATGTTTAGGTAATATTTAGTGCACAAGCTCTTCAATTATTTTCAAGAATTTTCCTTGGCATCCATTATTTTTATTATGTTCTTCAGAGACACTGTATAGGAGGTTTAGAAAACAAAAATTTTTAAATCCCCTAGAAAACATATATAGGATACACACTGGTTACAAGACATGAATGAGCTAATTAGGTGTGAAGAAGTGCTGTCATATGGGGGGGGGACAAGCTTTCTGCAGTACTGACATCACTGTTTCAAAGACCTTTGACTGCAATACATAACTCATAAGGAACTTTTGTTTACTGTATTTGAAAGTGTTCTGCTGCCACCTAGTGGTACAAAAGAGTAAAGGCAACTTCTCTTTCCCTTTTCTGATTCCTCCCCCTCCTCTTGCCCTCCCTTCTCCGTCCTCTCTTAATAACCAATGTCTTCTACTCCAAACTCGACTTTTAGAATTATATGTAGTTGAAAGAAATAGAATATATTCGTTATGTTCTATGTTTGTGCTTAGGCAGAGCCAAGCACACTTGAGAAAGTATCATTCTACACAAAAGGAGTTTCCCTTTAACAGATTTCTTGTATTTGTATACAGAGTACTGTTTAAATATATGTACACACTTCACAGTCATCAAAGTGTGCTTTTTAATTACATCCAGGACAATGGATGGCAAGTATGAAAGCAGAGGGGAGGACAAGAAGTATGCTTAAGTGTCTTCATATTAAAAAGTTAATTGTCAAAATAAAGCCAGTTGTCAAAATATACAGTGCCCACACTTAGCTCCTGCCCAGCCCAAACTAGGATCCTCTCAGGAGAGGCTTACTTGGGTGGCCTCCTTCACTGCTGCACATTTTTTTAAATGCAGTGTAGTCAGGTATCTGCATGTCACCATCTCCCACCCTTGAAGCTGCTATGGCTTTGCCACCTTGGTTCACTCCCAACAGCTGAGTCCTCCTGACCACTTTTAGTCTTTGCTTTGGGTCTCTTCTTTGGCATATGACACTAGGAGCTACTCCTCCCTTGACATGCTTCTCTGTATATTTGGTAATATCATACTCCTGTTTTCTTTGTCTTCTCTTTCTTCCTTTTTCTCCTGCCTGTGCTTTTAGTGCCTATAATCTGTGGTAAGTAGATTTCCTCTTAGCTCCTAACTCTACAGGGCATGGTCATTTCCTTTTATAGCCTAGCTTGTGATCTCTCCCAAGTGCATGCATCTGCATCAGACACCTCTCCTGGGCTCCAAAAACTTACACTTCTCACTACTCCTGAAAGCTCCCAGGAAACTCAAATTCAATGTAGTCTTTTTTTTTTTTGCTAAACCTCCTTAACTCAATTGATTTTAGAGAACAATCATCCCAACCAAGAACTGAAATCCATTAGGTACCTCATTCCTTTACCACTACATTGAATTGGTCCCTAAGCCTTAAGTTTCATCTGGTCCTCAACACCATGTCCCTTTCTGCTGGGTCGGGTGCTCAGCATTTCCCTCTGTGTCACTAACATGTGTCCTGGTGTAAGGCCTCCCAGTGCCTGCCCATTGCCTAGGACATAATCTGAAGAACTCTGTATGCACTGGAAGCTGACTTCTGCTTATCTCATTAAGTTGCCTACTGCCCCAGCCCCTTTCCTTCCTTCTAAGGATGTTAGGCTATGGTGATATTTTCTCCAACTTGCCACCTTCCCCTTTCCATACTTATATCTGCCTAGACAGCCACTCACATTTAAGAAATGTGTCTGGAGAGTGAATCTTCCCTGGGGTCCCTGACCTCTCGCTTTCTCCCATGTCTCCTACTCAGTGTTCCAGCACTGTCATGTATGTGGATCGATACACCCACTCCTGATGGAGCATGCAGCATATTTTATTGCACCTCATTATGGTTTGTGAACTTCTTCATGGTAGGGATCATGTTTATGTTTACTTTTTCAACCTTTGGCAAAATGCCTGGCACACAGAGAGTGTTCAGTAAATATTTGATGACTCAGGCAGAACTGGCCTGTCACATGGCTGCTCTGCATGCACCCACACCCAAAGAAGTGACCCTGAGAAGCAGGTCTTCAGTATGGAAGATAGGCTGACTCATGTTACACATTGAGGAGACACCCAAACACCTGTACCTCTGGGAGAAGAAAGCTGTGGCCTTACATGACTTCCAAAGTCATTCTTAGATAAGACCACAGAACAGGGTTTAGAATGGTTCAGGCCGCGGACAGACACACTGTCGCTGTGACCCAGTGTTTCTCCACTCTCTGGGCCTCTCCCCAGCACAGGCTCCTCCCCTCACTTCAGCACAGAAACGGGCAGGGCATGCCTTCCCCAGGACTGGACAGGGCAGCAACCAGCGATACTGCTGCAGACCAGAACCAAGAGGCCATGCCATCTACAGGGACACATGTCAAAAGAGTGATGTGTTTGGGAAGATGAGGCAGGCATGACCCAGGGCAGGCATGTTTGATGACCATAACGCCTTCTGATCTTTTTCTCAACGCCTCAAACACACTGGCCTTCCTCTGCTCATTCCTAAGGAAGTCATGTTCCCTTTCGACTCCTGCCTTTCCAAAACCTACCCTCAGCAGAGAACCTGACGGGCATCTACTGTAAATCATGAAATATATAATAGCTGAAACCTTATTAGTTCAGTGATTCCTCCTAGTGGGTCTTCCATTTAAATAGCGGGAAAAGACTTAGACTAATGATTGAGTTAAATAGCCAACTGCTGCCTGGGATGGTCTAGAAGATATACAGAAAGGGCAAGAACACTAACTAAAACTTCTGAAATTAGTCAGAAAAAGTCAGGGTGGAGGGGGAAAAACAGCTCAGTGTGAATGGAGGAGGTAGAGCTGGGACTAGCAGAGCGGTTGGAGTCCAGGAGACACAGTGCCACTGGCGGTGGTCAGGAGAAATTATTCTAAGTGCTCTGTGGTAGGATCTTGAGTTTGAGTAAATTTATTGGTGCAGGAGGCAAAATAGTACCAGGCCAAGGAATGTGTCTTGGTCTGTCTCTTCCATACGAGAACATCCTTAAGAAGAGTCGGGGAGAAAGGGAGGGAGAGCTGCAGAGGCCAAAGTGGGGAGGCCTAGGGTCTCTGAGGTCCCTTACAGCCCCAGGGAAGGAAGGCAGGCGCGGGGCGGAGCCTCGGGAGCATCCTCCGAGCAGTGGCGCGGAGCACGACGGGAGAATCCTTCCTCCCTCGGACATGGCGCCCACCTGCCCGGCGGCAGCAGCGGCCCCTGGCGCCGCGCTCTGCGGGTCCGGGCCGAGAAGCCTCTGGGGCGGCAGCGGCGGGGAAGGAGGAGGCGGGGGCGCCGAGGGCGCGGCCCGAGCGCGCGCGCGGTAGAACCTGGGGCACGTGGGGCTACACGGGACGCCGCCGGCATGGTGTCCCAGGTGCTGCAGCTGCTCCGCCAGGGCGTGTGGGCCGCGCTTACCGGCGGCTGGTACCACGACCCTGAGCAGAGCAAGTTCACCAACAGCTGCCACCTCTACCTGTGGCTGTTCCTGCTTCTGCTGCCCTTGGCGCTGCACCTGGTGAGTCTCGGGCTCAGGGGTGAAGGAGGAGAAAGAGGAGAGAAGAGGAAGGGGAAGGAAGGAGAACAGACCGCGGTGGGCTTGCCACGGTGTGTGAGAGGCTGGAAGGGTTTCGGGAACTGGGGACAGAGGATGTGCGGGGGACCCGGGGCTCAAGGGAAGGGAAAGAAGTAGGAAGGACTTCAGGGGCTCCTGACTCATTGAGAATTTATCTCCTAAGTCAGGATGAGTCAGACTGTGCCCTTGGCTGGAGAATGTTGAACTGTCCTGTGGGTGCCCAAGCTAGGCCTCCTGGCTGCTTAGTTTGAGGACCATGCTTGGTATAAAATATTGCACTTGATAACCAAAGGGCCAAACTAAATAGCAAGAGCAAACCTATACCAGTAATGAGTCTTTCTCTCTCTTCCCTTCCTGTTTTAGCTTGGAGAAAGCAGGTTCAACGATCAGGTACTCAGCTTACAGGCTCCACTCCACTGGGGATAGAAGTTGGTAATGATATGGTAATGGATAAATCTGATGTATTTTTATGCTAAGCAGAGTATTACAGCATCTTCTTGGGCTGCACATGTGGTAGGGTCATGATGGCTGAATTCTTGCTGAATAATTACATACCTGACCTTGGGTAAATTAATTATAGCTAATTGAAACAATGGTGGACCATATTTGAAAAGATGCATTAAACTTTATGCACCAAGAACAAATTTTGATATGTCTCTTGAAGGACTTTGTTCCTAAAACGTTAGTTGATCATGTTCTCCACAGAAAAAGTCTTCAAGCAGTTGGCATAGCCGACAGATCCTGAGTTTGACATCCTTGATTGTCCATGGCTGGGTGCCCCTGTGCTGTTTTTCTGGCAGTGTGTCCAACGGTCAGAGCTATGTGTCCAAAGTCAGATCTGGGTTATACCTCGGCTCCACCACTTCCCAGCTCTGTGAACGTGGAGGAAGTTACTGACTTTGATATTTCATTTTCATATCTGTAAAATTGGAAAAACAGTAATAACTGGTTTAGGGAATTGTCTGGGGGAATAAAGTGAAACAGTGCGTGTAAAGTCACATGTCTGACAAGACTCAGTCCTGGCCTTAAACTTCTCTTCTATTTATTAGCTAATATTTAGCCTCATGCTGGACCTATCTAAACCTTATTTTTCTTATTGTTGTACAAATATGATAATGATCACTTCAAGGGAAAATTAAAATTATACATGAAACGTATTTATTATAGAAACTTCATGGAGGGCCTTCAATAAATCCCAGTTTCCTTCTTCTCTGATTTTGTGCATCATTTTTTTTCTTAGCCCATGGCATCAGTGCTCTTTCTTTGCCTAGAAGGGGAGTTTGGCAGATTCATGAGGTTCACATTTCTCGATTCACATCCTGCTTCTGCTGCTGCTTGACTCTATGAACAGAAGCCAGCTTCCCCAAGTTCCAGCATCCTGGTTGGCAAAGCAGGGATGATAATCCATTCCTTATAGCATACATGTGAGGACCGGGTGAGATGATGAAATTACACCTCGGTACCTGGCACATAGTAGGTGCTTAATTCACATAGTCTTTTGTTTTCCTTTCTTGCTTTCCAAACTCTCTATCCTTCAAACCTGGTGAGAGAGCATCTCTGTCTCAGCTTCCTTGAATCCAGACAGCTAGCTCAGTTTCTGTTCTCTCTTGCCCTTATAACATTCTTTATTTATGATTAGTGTTATGGCACTTTGAATTCCATCTTGTGCTTACTTGTTAGAACATATGTGTATTTTGTATCTACCCTTAGATCATGAGCTTTTTGAGGCATGGATTTTGATTTTGTTTATTCATGTTGGTTTTCCATGCTCTACCTGGCAGAATACTTTGCAGTTGGTTTATTCATGTTGGTTTTCCATGCTCTACCTGGCAGAATACTTTGCAGTTGGTTTATTCATGTTGGTTTTCCATGCTCTACCTTGCAGAATACTTTGCAGTTTCTTGTATATAATGAACTGGTCCATCTCTTTCTATTCTAGCTAGTGTTATATATTCATTCGCATTCTCTCTCTCTCTCTTTCTTGATAACAAAAGCAATATCTACCCCACCTATAATCCTGCTGCTCACCAACAGCCACATTAACAATTAATGTATGTTTCTACAGATGATTGCTCTATGAATATGGCCTCACTTTTACAAAATTTCATGCAATGTTTGTTGTATACATAAGAGCGGAGCCCTTAACTTCTACCTAATCATACTTTATTCAGTACCTTGATTTCTATCTTATTTTTGTAAATAGGAAGTTACTTTTAGTTAAGCTCCTATTATATCATTACTTAAAAATAATTTTTATATCTTTATATCAGTGAGCCAAAAATCGTATATAGGTGCATTTATTGTTGTTACCTTTTAATATGTAGCCTATCTTATTTTTTTTAAATCTTGGATTATCCTTTCCTTACCCTGTTCTCTGATCTCTGAAAGTGCTTTTAGAAAAGAAAGGCCCTCCCTCAGCACAAGGTCTGTTTTCACCTCTTGAGGCTCAAATACATTTCTCTGCACTTCAGGGTGGCCTGTAATTGTCTTTTTCAGTTTGTTTTACTTACAGTAATTCTTCCAGAAAGACACCTGGGTGCTCACTAATAGCAGGACCTCATTCAAATTTTTGTTATTTAATGTGTCCCGAACCTTTCCAGTTTAAGCACAATTTTAGTTTAAACATATTTAATCAAGACAATTACACTTTGGGGGAAATCTATCTTTTAATTTAATGGAGATCTTGAGTATTTAAATAGGAAATTTTATTAACTATTATCAAAGGAAACATTTCTAAGCCCTAAAATTTCCCTAGACTATCTGATGGGTAATGTGGGAACTAGCTTCTTCTTAGTATTTATAAAGGATTTTTATATTTACAAGCCACATGGCTACATCTGACTTCATGGAGGAGAGGGTTCAGACACCATGTGCCTTACAAGATAGACTGGTACATACCTTCCCCGGGAAGTTAGCAGATGCAGACACTGCCCTGAGCAACAGAGTGATGATTGCTGTTGTTGAGAGGCAGTTCAGGTCCCTCTGGTGAGGTAAGAAGCCCCATCCTGGCTCTGGCACTGGCGGAAGGCTTTGCAGGAGGCAGAGCTGCTCACTAGAGGCCCAGTGAATGGCCAGGAGTTAGCCCAGCAGATGGTAGAGAAGGTATAGCATCTCCAGCAAGGAGAATGACCTATATTTAGCTCTCAGTTGAGACTCTGGCTTATTTAAAGAATCCAGTTTCATTGTGGTTGTTGGGACACAGAGGGGGCAGTGAGGATTGAAATGAAAAGGTTACAGGGAACCATTAGCCAACCCACGTTTGCTTGTCCTACAGCCTGGAGGAGGTGTTGAAGGGCTGTCAGCAGTGGTAGGACACAGGCTAATTTATGTTTTGCAAAACTTCTGGTTATACTTTAGAGAATGGCTTAGAGAAGTAGTGCCAGAAAGATGATGTTGGCCTGTTCTCTTGTCTCATCCTGCATTAAAAATTCATTTCCAGTATTTCAGTAGATTTATAAAATGGCTGTCATGTTGTCGGGGCAGCCTGAGTCTAACATTTACTCAAGTTCTATGGCTGGTTATTTCTGATGCCTCATGTGGTCCGTGCTGGCCACATTTCCAGATCACTTTTGGCTCAAGGAGGTGGAAGAGCAGCTGACAGAGGTCTGGAATTGGTTCTCCAGGTGAGGAGGGAGTGGGCAAGGACAGTCACTGTCATTCTCACTTTGACACTGTCTTCCCCAGCATTCCTCTGGGTTTCTCTCATGGATGGTGTGGATCTGCTCTCCAGGCTCCTTTTTCATTGAATATATGACAGCTCACTTCTACCTCCATTGGAGAATCTGGGCCCTTCTGTGATTTTATAGTTTGGGTGTCCCCGTCCTTTATCTTGTGGTCTTAGTGTGTTCCAGGCAGAGTTCCTCTTAGGAGAGTGCTCCAAGGACACTTAGGAGAACCAGCCACTTCTGTAGGAAGCCCTGGTGCCTTGGATGGGCTAACATTTGGAAGCCAAAATCTAGGGCAGCAGTAGAGGTGGTCTTTGCCTCCAGACCTGCTCAGTAAACGGAGCTGGGGCACTGATCGATCTATTGATTGAGTAACCAATCAATTGAGAGTTTATTCTGAGACTTTGAATCCAGTTCAAATAAAAGGGATCTCCCTTTCACATTCCGCCTTCTATCTCATTTATTCCATGGTGTGAACTCTGGCTCACAGCAATGTCATCTGCTCAGTCCCTAAAGACATACAGGAATCATTACTCCCATAACGCTAGCATAGACACATCTTTAAGTAAAATTCAAGATTGTTTAGAAATAATTATTATTATTATTTTAAAATAAAGTTCAAGATTGTTTAGAAGAATTATCATTACTTTTAGAATTAACCCCACCAGTGGTATACTGCCAGAGTATTGTGTCATAGCATTACTTGGATGAATCCTTTCTTTTTCTTACTGTATTTCTGGTTCTTCTTCGTGGTTATTCTCTTAATCTGATTTAAACTTTTAGGTTCATCACTGAGTATATAGTTTTAGTTTTATTCTCCCATCTTTGTTGATTTAATAATTGTTGAAGGTGTAAAACACTAACATGTTTCAAAAACATGTGATAAAGTATGATGACTTGCTTTATCAAAGAGTTTCTCTGACTGCAGGTTGGAAAGTAGATCAGAGCAAGCAAAAATAGAAGTGGGTGACTCACAGGCTGTTTTAGTCTCCCAGCTGAGATGCGAGGGTGGTAGCAAAGATGGGGACATGTGGATAGGTTTTGATGGAACTTAGTGATCAGTTCACTTTTGGTGGAGAAGTGAAGGCCAGGGAGGAATCCTGGGTCTCCAGATGGCTAGGTAACTGGTTTGGGAGAGGATGTTGGAGTTTGGGAAACCAAACACCTGCTTTTTTCACACAGTCCTTTGGAGTTTTCTTTTAGATATCAAAGTGGAGGAGCTTAGATAATTGGATATAGGTGTTTACAGCTTAAAGGAAGAGCCAAGCTAGAGATGTG